TGTGTTTATCAGCAAGGTTGGCACAATAAACCTTAACTATATCAACAACTATCAGTATAGACTGCAATTCAAAGTAAAGAAAACAAAAATCTTCAGAACTGGATCAGCAGACAACCTAATAATAGACAACCTAATAAATGGTTAAAAGTTTGAGGTTGTCGAGGATTTCATTTTACTTGGATCCACAATCAAGGCCCATGGAAGCAGCAGTGAAGAAATCAAATGAGTATTGCACTGGGCAAATCTGCTGCACAAGACATCTTTGACGTGTTAAAGAACAAAGATGTCACTTTGACAACTAATGTGCTCATGACCCAAGCCATTGTATTTTCAATCTTCTTAAAGCCGTGGGCAAGCTTGAACTATGGTGTTGACAAAGAGTCCTGAAAGTATCCTGGACTGTGTGGCACCCTGGTGGCATAGCGGATTACCCGGTGGGCTACTCGCCACAAAGTCAGCAGTTCCAAACCACCAGTCACACCACTGGAGAAAGGTGAGGCTGTGAACTCCTGTGAACAGTTGCAATCTCAGAAGCCCATGGGGACACTCTACTCTGTCCTCTAGGGTCGCTATGGATCAGATTCTACTCAATGGCAGCAGGTTTGGTTTGGGGTTATGGGCTGCCAGAAGCACAAGAGAATTAATTGGTCTTGGAGTAAGCATTGTCAGAATGCTCCTTAGAAATAACGGCGATGAGACTTCAGCTCACGTACTTTGCCATTTGGGTCTCCACTCCACCCCCTCCACCCTTGTTCTCATCAATATGATTCTTTGTTCTGGGTCTTCTGATGCCTGATCCCACGGACACCTCAGGATCACACAGGCTGGTGTGCTTCTTCCAGGGTGCAGTATAGCACCAATGAAACATACAACATTCCTCTAGTTCTTTAATGCCCCCCCCCCACTCTTATGACCCCAATTCTACCTTACAAATCCAGCTAGACCAGAGCATATACACTGGTACACATAAGAGCTCTCAACACAGGGAATCCAGGACAGATAACCCCTCTCAGAAACAATAATGAGAGCAGCGATACCATTAGGGTAGGGGAAGGTGGGGGAAAGAGAAAGAGGGAACCAATCACAATGATCAACATATAACCACCATCCCCCCCAAGGGGGACGAACAACAGAAACTTAGGTGAAGGGACAGAGCAGTCATGTCAGATCATGAAAATAATACTTTATAAATTATCAAGGATTCATAAGGGAGGGAGGAAAGAAATGAGGAGCTGATACTAAGGGCTCAAGTGGCAAGAAAATGTTTTGAAAATGATGATGGCAATATATGTTCAAGGGTGCTTGACACAATGGAAGTATGGACTATTATAAGAGCTGTAAGAGCCCCCGATAAAATGACTAAAAAAACCCAAAATAACCAAAAACCTTTCTGTAGGACAATTCTCCTCTCACACACATGGGGTCACCAGGAGCCAGAATGTAGTTGATAATAGCAACTTTGTAGAAGTACTTATTATATGGAATACATGAGCTCGATGCATATGAGTCAGTCAGCCTATAAAAATATACTGAGTCAGACTGATTTAGAAGAAAATTAAGAAGCAAAAAAAGTTGAGGTTCCAACACCTGGCTGTCACTACCTGACTCTGGTTTCTATTCATCGATATTGACTCTAAGGTGGTGCATTCGGGAGGGCTGAAATGAGGCAGGAAAAAGATCACTTAGTGGAGAGTTTTCTGACGAATGACTCGCCTGGCTTCCCAGTCTACGGCTTGTTATCAGGGACAAGGTGAAAACATGCAACCCTGGGAGCGCATTTCCAAAGGAAAACACGGCTTATAAAGCACCGCTACCACGAACCCACCTCACGTGGCCAGAGCCTGTGCGAGAACCCCCTGCCTCTCCCTCTCCCTCTCCCATCAGTACCTGAGCTAGGTCAGTCAAGGCCTCTGCCTAAGGTTACCAGGTAAAATACATGCTCCATGCTCCCTGAGTTGAGTTTAAGATAAACAATGAACACTCTTTAGTCTAAGTATGCCTCAAAAATTGTACGGGGACATACGTATACTACACACCATGACAGTTTCCCTAAATCTGCCAATAAGATCTGCATATGCATAGAGCACTTCCGTCTGAACGCTTTAAAAATGCTAACTGATTGAATAGATGAAAATACATGAGCAGGGGGTGCTTCCAAAAGTTCAGGGGGGAAATCCCATCATAGTTTAATTCCATTTTCCCACCAACAGTTTGGAGCTCTGTTTTGGGAGTCCTGGGGGTGTCATGGGTGATATGTTGCATTGCAAACCACACGTCAGCAGTTCGAAACCCTCCGCCGCCCTGTGGAAAAAAGAGGAAGCGTTCTGCTCCTGTAACGAGCGGTGGTCTCAGAAACCCACAGGGGCAGTTTTAGTCTGTCCTACCGGGTTGCTGTGAGCCAGGAGTCACTTGAGGATAGTGAATTCGGAGTTTTTTCAGTATATGGACATGGAAACATATGCCATATGTAGGATTTGAATTTTAGGGCAGTATGTTTTGTTACATTTAAAAGATTAGGTGAACTTTCTCCGACTAGGAGTGCAAACTTACACCACTGGCTGCTAATCTAAAGGATGGAAGTTCCAGGCCACCCAGAGGTGCTTTGAAAGAAAGACCGGGTGATCGAATTCCAAATTTTGGCTACGGAAAGCCGGATGGAGCACAGTGTTCTACCCTGTCATATACGTTGGAAGTGACTGAGTGGCGGCAGCAAGAACCCTGACACCTACAATGAAGCCACTTAATGAGTTGTCATTGTTCGGATGCAACTAGTTCTATAAAACACACACAGTAAAAGGCAGGCCACGTAGTAAAATGCAGCATTGGGTTGAAAGTCTAGACGTCTAGAGTCCAGTTCCTGCTCATTAACTAACCAGTGCTGGTGGGGGGGCTGGGGAATGGGGATGGGGGTTGCAAGAGGGCAAGTTGCCTCAACGCTTTGAATCTAGGTTTCTGATCTGTCAAATGAGGTTTGGGCGAGGTTGTGTTTGAAGGTCTTTGCTGCCCCTAAAATTCACTTTGTTTCTTCTCACGGGGGAAGGCACCTTGCAGCGAGAAGTTGATTACCTCTGCAATCATTCTGTTGGTGTCTCCCAAGAAAAGCAGGTTCAGGGCCTCTTCCTCTGTGGTTGCCTGATGAAGAGACAGGTTTTTCAGGTGAATGTTCTGATCGGGGTCCTCCAGTATGGTCACTTTCCTAGGGGAACGGGAAGCAAGAAAAGACGAGGCACGGTTGAGAACGAAAAGAACTTGGGGTGCTTCTTACACGTTGGTTTTCCAAAAGTGGAGAGCCTGCTGTCTTGAACTTAGAAAATCGAATGATACACAAGATGCCAGTCAGCACTGGATCGGATTCCAACACACAGAGATCCCCTCGGCAGCCCCAGCAAATAGCACTGGGGCTGAAGGTTGCATGATAAACTACTGATTTAACAGCACCTGTCTCTGAAATAATCAGATCACTAAATCATCCTAAAATACGTATTCCGCCTGAGTAACAAATGCAAAGAGATAATAATCGTTCGCCTATAAATCAGGCAAAGAGGTCGTCTCCTTTCTCCTATGTCATAATTCGGCTTCTTATGCAGGTAATATACTAATTTTTCTCCTTCTAACTTTTCCCTTTGATTCAACTTCATATCACTTTCAATTTGCATGGCATTTCAAACTGGTTAGCTCATCAATGACTTATACTCTGTGAAAACAGTGGTACCGCAGAAGGACATTGGGCCTCCACTCAAGTACTCCCTCAACACAAGAATACTTTCTTCTA